GGGGATAAATTTGGATATATTTTGACCAATCTCACTGGGGGAAAATGCCATCTATAAAACATTTTATAGAGGGTTTTTTTTGTAGGCTATTGCTGTCGTAAATTTATAATTTCTTTCCCATAGTTTGTCCCATTTTTCTAACTCTATATTATGGTCAAAGTTTCTTGCCCAGCTAATCATTGTTTCCTTTACTGTCTCTTCCTCAATTTTATATCTTAAAAGAAAATTATACAATTTGGTAATTATTTTTCCTCCCGTTTTTAATAATATTTTATCTAATTCATTTGTTTCTCATGTATTCCCGTACTGTTCCCGATCTTTTTTAAATCTTGTTTTAATTTTTAAATAAGGCTACCATTCCACATTTATTCCTTGTGTTTTCAGATCTTGTACTGGTTTTAGTTCTCCCTTTTCATCTAAGAGTTCTGCATAGCTTACCATTTTACTGAGATCTATGGTATTTGGGCATGTCATTGTCTTCATCATTGATAACCAGATTAGGATTTTCATGAAATGGTTCTTTTTTATTTTTCCCCAGACCTTAAAAAGGGCATCTCTTACTATGTGTCTCTGGAAGTAGGAATGAGATTTATTCTTTCCCTCCCAGAGGAAGCCATGCCAGTCTAATTGGAGATCATGTCCTTCTAGCTTTAGAATCCTTTTATTTTTTAGTTGAGCCATGTCAGGACTGCTGCCTGATAATAAAGTTCCCAATCTGGGGGGCCCAAAACCACCTTTGATTCTACTATCTTGTAGAAGTTTGTATTTAATATGCAGTTTTTTCCCTGACCAGATAAATTTGGATACCATTTTATTTAGTTCAAAAAAAATTTCTCTATTGTTTGGAAAAGATAAAGTAGTTTGGGTAATACATTCATTTTAATTGTTGAGATTCTCCCAATTAGTGATATCTGTAGTTTAGTCCAATTGTCCAGATCTTTTTGTATTTGTCTTAGCAATTTATTGTATTTGTCTTCTTTTATCATAATACATTTTACTGAAAACCATATTCCCAAGTATTTAATTTTCTTGACTCTCAAAATTCCCAATTTCTCCTCCAGTTCTTCGTTTTGTCTTTTGGTTAGATTCTTAGTTAATATTTTGGTTTTCTCTTTATTTATTTTAAGCCCTGACACTTTACCGAATTGTTTATGTCTTGTAATAGTATTGGTCAAGTTTCTAGGGGTTCCTCTATGATGAATGCTAGATCTTCTGCAAAGGCCTGCACTTTGTATTTTTATGTTCTAATTTTCAATTGCTTTATCTCCTGGTTCTGTCTAATTTGCAATATCAACATCTCTATTGAGAGGATAAATAACAGGGGGGATAGAGGGAATCCCTGTCTTACCCCTTTGATTATGCTGAAACCTTCTGTTGCTTCTCCGTTTAGTGTAATTTTTGCCATCTGACTAGACTATATTGCTCTGATCATCCCAATAAATTTCTCTCTGAAGTCCATTACTGCTAATTGATTTATAAGAAAATTCCAATTCAGGTTATCAAACACTTTTTGTGCATCAATAAATATCAATGCTGCTTTTTTTCTGAATGTATCTCATAGTATTCTAATATGTTCATTATCGTCCATATATTGTTTTTTTTTGGGGGGGGGGTCCATTGGGTAGAAATCCATTTTGTTCTGGATGTATGATTTCGTTTAGTATATTTTTTCATTCTTTCTGCCATTATTGTCATAAATATTTTATAATCAGCATTTTAGCAGCAAGATTGGCCTATAATTTTGAATCTTTTGTTTCTCAGTGTTGTCCTTGGGGATTAATGTTATTAGGGCCTCCATCCAAGATTTTGGTATCTTAGCTCGTTCTAGTACTTCATTGTACATTTCAAATAATATGTTCTCTAATGATTTTTATAGTTCTTTATAAAATTCTGCTGGAATTCTGTCCAGACCCAGGGTTTTATTTTTTTCATTTTTGGATTGCCTTTTTAAATTCTAGCCTCATTATTATTCTCTCATTTAGTGTTTCCTTTGTTGCTTCTTGTAAGGTTAGAAGGTTCCTCTTCTGAAGTATCTTTTAATATCCTATTTTCTCTCGGCTGTATAGAGCTTGAAAGTATCTTACTGCTATATTTTTTTTCTTTCCTTCTGGTGGTGTATCACCCCTTCTTCATCCTCTAATTGCTGTATTAATTTCTTTTTTCTTTTTTTTTTAGTTTATAGGCCAGCCAGGTCCCCGGTTTGCTGGCATTTTCGAAATAATTTTGTCTACTTGATCTAATTTTCTGGGCCACTACTTCTTGTGTAATTAAATGTAATCTATGTTTAATTATTTCTTTTTCTTCTTTAACTTCCTGGATTTGAGGGTCTTTTTGCATTTTATATTCTAATTTCCCCAGTTTCTCCTGGAGTCTGTATATTGTTTCTTTTTTATCTTTGTTTCTTTGCATTGTGTATGCTATTGTAGTGCCCCACACATAGGCTTTGGTTGTATCCCATAAGTTTTGAATGGTTGTCTTTTCATCCCAGTTTTCCTCTAGGAAAAATGCTAATTCTTTTTCCATGCATTGAACATAGTTATTTTCTTTCATAACCCTTTGATCCATGGTCCATCTCTTTTTCCTTTTTGCCTCTCCTTTCCATTTGACTGTTAATGGCTTATGGTCCACCCACATGTTTGGTGTTGTTTCTACTTCCTCTACACCCTTCTCCATTTCCAGGTCCATCCACACCATGTCGATCCTGGACCATGAATTATGGGGGTCTGAAAATAATGTGTATTGACTCTTCTGTGGATTGATTTCTCTCCAAACATCTTTCAGATTTAATTCTCAGGCCATTTCAAAAAATGTATTTGATAGTGCTCTCCTTTCATAATTTTTTAAAATCTGTTTTATAGTCTTTGGGTTTACCACCACATTAAAGTCCCCTAGTAAACATACATTGTCCAGTTCCAATTCTGCAATCCATTTATGTAATTTACTGTAATATTCTTTCTGGTTCATGTTTGGTGCATATATAACCGCAATTAGTACTCTTTTTGTTTTATTGATATTTCAATTAATAGTATTCTTCCTTCTTTGTCCACGTATATTTGTTTAGGTTTTAGCTATTCCTTTATGTATACTGCAATTCCCCTTTTCTTTGTTTTGGCCAAGGCCAGATGTAATTTCCCTAACTTTGGAGATTTGAGGATACTACCCTTTCCTTTTTTAATAAACACCTCCTGTAGACATGTGATGTTCATGTTTTGTTTTTGGAGTTTAGACATTATTTGTCTTCTTTTTATAGGTGAATTCAATCCATTTATATTTACCGATATTAATTTCACTTCTTCCTCCATTCTATTACTTGTTTGTTGCCCTTGTTCGTCTCCTTGGTTTTGTTTCCCTTTGGTTTCTTGTCCTCACTCCTTCTCTTTCCTGAATTTCTGTATCAATCTTCTCTCTCACTTCTTGGTCTAATCCTTTTTCCAATCCAAAGTCCTTCATCAACCTGTTCCCTTCTCCATGTTCAAAATTACAGCTGCCCTCAAATTGCATTCACTGTCCTTTCTCTTTGTTTTCTTCCACCTCTGTCTCTTCTATTGCAAAAAGAGACTGTTCTTTCCTTCTTTTCCAATCTGTTCACCACCTACACAAAACATTCAATCTATATTACTGCAGATCCAGTCTCAGAAATCAGTAGAAATTCTCAACTCAGCAACTACAATCACTTTCACTCTCCACTGATTCTGTGCTGGTTTCATCTTCTTCCTTCTGCTCCCACTGGTAAGGCGGTGCTCTTCCCGCTTTGGAGACACACTTAATTGCTCTATCATAAATTCCACCAACTTAGAGAAATATCTTGTTTTAGCACTGTCTGCCAATACTTCTTGCCATTTCTCACTGTTTGCTTCCTCCACCATTATCAGGCTGTCACGTCTCTGGACCAAGCTATGACAGCTGGTTTCTTCCATGCCAGATTTCAGGGATTCTACCCTTTGATTGCTCTTCTCCCCATCGCCCTTGGATTTTCCTCTCTCTATCACTGTCCTTTCCAAGGCCCAGCTTGCCATTGCCAGCCTCCAGACATGAAAATTCAGATAGGGAGAATGGAGTCTCATTCTCCTGTAGCTGCACCAATGTGATATCACCCTGGAAGTCTCACTCATGTTAATTTTTGTTTCATGATTTCATGCTTTAAAATATTATTACATTTTTACAACATATGGCAAAAATCACACATAAAAATTATTATTACTGGAATATATGTTAGTGATAATATAGAAGGATATATTTTTCTGAAAGAACAGCAAAATATTAAAGCTTGGAAATAAAAAATAATTAGCATGTTCCCCTCTGCAATTTTCCCCCCAATTTCCTAGTCTAGCCTACAGCCCTAAGATTTTGTGATAGTTTTTCATGTCAGCAGATCCAACTTTACTTAACTTTCTGAGCTGAGGTTGGCTTAATGCCTGTGCAACAAGTCAATTTGTGGGAGGTGGGTATGAAGTTATTTTTCAGACTTGTTAGTATTCAGAAGTTTTCAAAGTGCTCACTGAGAGATATATGGCTCTCTCTGAACTCAACCTTCACCACAGGATTGTTGGAACAAAATGAAATGCAATTAGAACTCTGAAAAAAGGATAAATATATAATATATAAATAATGTATGTTGTTCTTTTTGAAAATGTACTCTTTATCTCTGCAATCATTTTTGTTTTTGTTTTGTTAAGGGGGAATTCTGTGGCAATTTATTGATTCTGCAGTTTTTGATGCCTGCAGTAGTTATCTAAATAATAAAAAAGTAAAAGTATATATAGTATAATAAATAACAATCTGATACAAAATTTATATTTGCTTCAAAACCTTTCAGATAAAGTTTCTGTATGCAGAAAACAAAACTTCCATTTATTAATTACAAAAGCTGCCCATCCCTACTATAAAAGTACCCATAGAACAAAACAAATCTACCTAATAAAAAAAATAAACATAGGTATTAAGTATTGATGGTTTCATTTTTTTTTTGACAAATGTGTATTCATTTATTCAGTTCTTACCTTTTCCTAATTTCTGAATCCACAACAATTTGCCTCTTCTTGGGAGGTGGCACTTGTGGGAGCTCCTCTTTACCATGTTTAACCAGGATCTGCTCTCTGGTGGTTACCATAGTCACAGTTTCCATTACTGTAGTTTGTGTTAGTGATGTTTGCGTGGCAGCAACAGCTTGTGAAATCTGTGAGAAGTATTGAAGCAGAGATCACACATTAACTGAAAGGCTTTAATTAAGATGTTTAGAGTGGTAACAGAAAATGAAGATAAATTGTTCTTTCTTGATCATGACCTTCAGAACAAAACAACACTGTATTGTACTGCAACCAAATTGTTTTATCTGACTCATGCAAGGTGAATAAGACATGAAAAAAATCAATATTAAAATGAGAAGTAAACTCAAACAGAATGTATTTGTAGCACATTTTGTACCAAGTAAAGCAAAAGCAAAAAAGGTTTAATTGTATAAGGTAAATTACACAATATACATATTTGGATATTCCTGCCCCCTTTTAATATAGCTACTTCACCTCTCATGAAGGCAATTAAAAAAAACCTGAGTTTTTTTTAAATGTATTAAATCTTCACAAGCATTTCATTTTATTTTCTGTTTACATGTTTATTACTGGTTATTATTTAGAGAACTAAATGGAAAAAGATGTATTCCTGATGCCATTTTAAAATTATTTCCTCCATCTTAGAACAATTATTTCTTTGTCTTCTAGTAAAAAAAACAGCAAAAACAACAAAAGGCAGGTATTTTCCCTCAATAAGGCAGGACATGAAAGGATTTTTTCTACAGCTTTCATAATTCTCAGAGCAGGTTCCATCAATCATCTATCTCTGTGATGGTGAACCAATGGCACGCGTGCCACAGGTGGCAAGCGGAGCCCTCTCTGTGGGCATGTGAGCCGTTGCCCAGCATGCACACCTCCCGCCGCCCAGCTGATTTTTGGATTTACCCTGCAGGCAGGATTTACATGTGCATACCTTTCTTCTCACTTTCTGCAGCCCATGCCCTTCCAGATCTCCAGAGATTCCTCCTCTCAGTGCTGTTTTGCGAAGGGAAGTTTCTCAAAACAGAGCTGAGAGAGGAAAAAAGCCCCCCTTTTCCCCTTCTCAGCACTGTTTTCAGAAGAGAGGATTTTGCCTTTCTCAGCACTGTTTTTGCAAAGAGAGGCTTCTAAACACAGCACTGAGAAAGGAAACAAGTCCCCCTTTTCCCACTCTCAGTGCTGTTTTGCGAAGGGAGGCTTCTTCACCTTCTCAGTGCTTCTCCCTTTGCAAAACAGACCTGAGAGTGGGAAAAGGGAGACTTTCCCTCCTCTCAGCACTGTTTTGAGATGGGAGGCCAAAAGGGGAGTATGTTTCACACGCATCTGCGGGGCAAGCAGGGGGGCATGCACGCATGCATGTAGGCACGGATGTGCAGGGGGTGGGATGCGTGGGAGGGGCATTGCATTATGGATGTGGGAATGTGGGGAACACACACACACACACATGCTTTCAGCACCCAAGGAAAAAAAGGTTTGTCATCACTGATCTATCTATTCATTCATCTGTCTGCTTAGCACCAAAACCCTTCTATTCATATTGTCAGGATTCCAAGTAATATGCCCATAGCAAATAGGACTCCAAGGCAGGCAGATTCCTCAAAGAATAATTTTATTTGACATATATTGGCACACTCTGGTGAAAACCGACTCTGAATGTTTCCGCAGTTTTCACTTAATTAAAAGTTTTTCCCCTTTCCCAATCAGTCATATGGTCGAATCAATGTGCCATCTGATTGCCTGGTAACGTCACTCCTCACAGGTGACCGGTCACCTGTGGGAATGTCTTTGGTTCCCAGGAGAAAGTATTTTGTTTTTGCTACAAAACCCCAGCTATTTCTATTCTCCCCTCCCTATCCCACAACTCCAATGTGGCAACCCTGAAGCTTCAAAATGGCTTCTGTCAGGTCAGCTTCAGGGTTGAAACATATACAGAAGTTTATATGCTCTAGTAATCATTTCTATCCTAGCAAGCCTAAAATCATAATGCATCAATTGTAGAAAAAATTTAATTAGTTCAAAGAATGAGTCATACTCAGTAACATTTTCATCTTTATATTGAAATGTTAGTATTAACAATATAGGGTAACATAAGGCTATATTTGGCAATTTTCATACTTATGGCAGTATCATACTCTGTGAAATTACTGAGTTGTAACTTTCAGGGAAGAATCCTCAAAATGTAAGTGAGACAATTTTATTGTAAGCCTAACGTATTTCAAGTATAAACTTATTATTAACAAGAAAATCTTCCATGGCTTTTAAGTACCAATTTATCTTGGTAGTAGTCATGATTTCTATATCAATTACTTCTCAGAACAGGCATGTTTACACATTATATTATATTATATATAACTGCTAGTTACAGTTATGTTTCTGGTAGATTGGGCTATAGTTTCTTTTTGCATGAAAACCGATGCAAAGAATGAATTAAGCAGCTCTGCTTTCTCTCTGTTGCCTGTTACTTCTTTGCAGTCTTCTCTCTTTAGTGGATCTACTGTTTCCTTGATTTTTTTTCTTGTTGTTTATATGTTCGAAGAAACTTTTATTATTATCTTTGACTTTTGTTGCAAGTCTTTGTACATTCTTTTTTTAAAATAGAATTTATTTTTATTTTCAAAACAACCACAACACATAAAATCTTCCTTCTTTACATACTGTAGAAAGTATATCAGTTAGTTACAAAAGGTTTTCATGCATCTCTTCCACAGTCATCAAGCATAATTCATATTAACTCAAGTATTTTAAATCAAACATTTATACATGTTACCTTTATACCTCCATTTTTTTAACTATAATTATTAAAATGTCCTTCATCATAAAATATACCAAGATTTAATACATAACCACATACTGGCATTTCATTTAATATTTCTAAAATCCTTCAATAACACTGAATCCTTATGTCCTGTTCTTGCTA